ATGGTCTTTTTGAGACAGGGTCTCCCTGTAGCCGCAGCTGTCCTGGAACTCACTATGTAGACCAGGCTGGCCTTGAACTCACAGAGATCCGCCTGCCTCTGCCTCTCAAGTGCTGGGATTAAAGGCATGTGCCACCATGCCTGGCGTTTGTAAATATTTTAAAAATGAATTTATTAAAGAATGACACCCTAAGTCATATCTGGCATCCCTGTGTTTCTGCTTTGCCACTTTAGAAAATTAATGAACTAGCCTTGGGAACAGGTTTGGGGTATAGTAGGTAGTTTTAAACATGCTAATACAAAGTAGAAGACAATGAAGCCTATATACTTTTATTTACATGAATAGGCCAATGGTTCTTGGGCTTGAACATATATCAGAATTATCCAGATAGCCCATTAAAGCACAAATTGCTTTAACTCTAGGGGTTCCTACCCCCAGAGTTTCTGATTCAGTGGGGTTGAGGTCAAGACTGAAAACTTGTTAGTAATACACTAACACATTCAAATGAGGTTGATGAGAACTATTAGTATAGGCAAGATGTATTCAGACCAAACAAACAAACAAAGCCAATACCTTGAAAACATGAATGGAAAATAATTAAATCCTTTACTTATACTAAGACTGGAATTTCACTCCTCTGAGACAATGATCAGTGCCCGTTTATGGATCCTTCCAAAAATGTTTTATGTATACATATCAATGTGTGTATTTACCATACATAATAGATATCAGTGGTGCAAGCCCTACTAACCACCATTATGGCATGTGGCATATTATCAAACTCTATAATCTGTGCCAATTTAAGTGGAAAATGGTCTTGTTATCTTTAGAAAGACAAAGCAAGTGGGGGAAGGGTCTTATATATGTAAAGGACACTTTGGACAAGGTCCATGGATGGTTATTTTGTCAACTTGGTTAGATTAAGAATGTCTGGAGGATTAGTGAAGCACACCTCTGGCATATCTGTGGTGGCATTTCTAGAGACAAATCATGGGGATTTGACTTAATCAATAGATGAATCCCTTCATGGGCTAATATGGTGGCATTATTGGGAAATAGTGAAAAGCAGGATATGGGGCCAAGTCCACAGGTATTCATGTTGCCTTTCCCCTTTCATATACCCACCTTTTCTATATTTCTTCTTTGCCATGATGTGAATTGCTCTGTTCTACTGTGCCCTCTCCACCATATTGGGCTGATATTTCTGAAACTGTGAACCAAATTAAATATTCCCTCTTTTAAGTTGTATTAGTTACTTTTCTTGTTGCTATGACAAAATGCCTGACAGAACCAACTTAGAAGGAAAATTTTTATTAGATCATGATTTAGGAGGGGGTATAGTTCATCATGGAGGGAAGGCATGGTGGGAGCATGTGGCAGCTGGTCGCACTATGTCTGACTGAGATCAGGAAGCAGACAGATGCTCATCCAGCTCTTTCTTTTTGACCTTTTTATTCAGTCCAGGACCCCAGGCCAAGAAAGAGTGCCACCCATATTCAGGGTGGATCTTCCCTCATCCCAACTTCTCTGAAAATACTCTCATAGATACACTCAAAAGTGTACCTCCACTGTTAGTGTTCTAGGTGTTTCTTAATCCAATAAAGTTGACAAATACTAACCATCACAGTAACTAATACATTTTGAATTATCTCCTTTTTTTTCTTGTGTTGCTCATGTTTCATGTGGCATCTAAGAATACATTGCCAAATCCAACTTCATTCTTTTGTGTGTGAATATCCAGTTCTAATGCCATCTGTTGAGAAGACTATTCTTTCCCCCTTGAATCTCTTGAGACCTTTGTAAAAATTTAACCCAAACTGGAAGAGCTCTTCTCTGGACTGTCAGTTCTATTCCATGATCAGTCCATATGGTAGTATCATACTCATATTTATTGTCGCTCTGAAGTTGGAAAGTGTGAGTCCTTCAACTGTGCTCTTATAAAGATATTTCTACTCTTCTGAATTCTGCAGATTCATCTGGGAGTATTACCATCTTAACAATTTGAAGTCTTTGATGTAGAATATCCTTTCCTTATTTAAGATCTTTAAGTTTTGAACATTGTTTTATACTCTTATTAAGTTCTGCCCATTTTGTTAAATGCATTTCTAAGCACTTTATTCTGTTTGAGGTTATTTTAAACAGGACTGTTTTGTTATTTTAATTTTAGGATCCCCTGAAAATGTATAGCAATACAGCCAGTTTTTATATTGATTTTGTATTGTACAACTTTGCTAAACTTGTAGGTCACTTATTATCTTGTATGTATAAGAGCATATCATCTTCCAGTGGAGATAGTGTTGCTTTTTTCTTCCCAATCTGGATGCCTTTTACACTTTTTTCCCCTAATTTCCACAGCTAGAAATCTACAATGGTAGACAGAACAAAAAGTCTAGATCTTGTTCCTCCTTTTGGAGAAAAGCATTAGTATCATTAGCTGTGCACTTTTCAGAGGCACCTTTACCAGACTGAGCAAGCTCCCTGGTCATTATTTTCCTTAAAACAAATTATTTCAGAGTAGATTGAGAAGATAATTCCATCATATTATTTTATAGAGAAGAAGTAGAGTATTAAAACAAGATTTTACTCATAAGGGACATCAAAACATGAGCACATGAAAGCATGTTAAATGAGTCTACTGAGGTCCCTTAAAACCCATTTCCATTTGGATAAAATTCTAACCTCACCATTCTAACATTTACAATCACTGCAAAGGCAACTTTGAAATTTGCAAATTTGTGCATGGGTGTTCACAGCAGAATTTCTTATTGCCTAAAAGTGGAGATAACCTGAATATCTATCAGTTGGAGGGACATTCCAAAAGTGTTATATTGATGTAATGAAATATTATTCAGCCACAGAAAGCCATGAAATACCAATACATACTGCAACACTGGATAAACCTTGATGATATTACGCTAAGTAAAAGAAGCTACTAACAGAAGGCCACATACTAAATGATTTCATTTAACTAAAATGCAGAGTGGGAAAATCCATAGAGAAAGCACGTGACAGTTGCTAGGGCCTGGGGGAAGGAGGGAATGGAGAGTGATATGCCTGTGGGTACAGGATTTCTCATGGGGTGAAGAAAATGTTGTTCAGGTAGATAGTGGTGATGGTTGTGCATCTCTTAACTAGTGCATCTCATAATTAGTGGAGTTGGGTCTTATTCTGATATATCCTCTATGTCCAAAAGTTACCCTATGATAGTTTGTTGCCACTTCAATGCAAAAGTCACTTTGTTTCCTGTTGAGTCTTATCTCAATGGATACTTATCCCTTAGTCAGATCCATATTCCAATGTGTTGGAAAATCGTGGTCCTCAGTGAAGACCAATGTCTAGTAAAAAGGAAATCTTGAGTGACAAAAGTCCTAGTCTCCAAATAGCTTTTAAAACATCAAACAGCTTACACAGTACATATACAATCCATTGTTGAGGTATTTTTTTAATTTTTATTATTTTTTATGTGTATGAGTGTATTGCCTGCATGTATGTAAGTGCACCCATGTCATGCATTAACTGTGGAGGTCAGAAGAGAGTGCCGGATCCCCTGGAACTGGAGTTAGGATGGTTGTTAGCCTCCATGTGGATGTTGGGACCCAAACCTGGGTCCTCTGCAAGAGCAGCCAGTGCTCTTAATTGCTGAACCATCTCTCCAGCCCTTGAGGTATATTTTAATCTAATCAAGTACAATATAATTTACATAATCTTAGTGGGAAAAAAATGAGGGCTCTTTGAGGACTGTTCTCATCCATTTTTTTTTTGTATGTGTGCTTTTGAGACAGGGTCTCCCTGTAGCCCCACCTGACCTGGAACTGGAACTCACTATGTAGACCAGGCTGGCCTCGAACTCACAGAGATCCACCTGCCTCTGCCTCCAGTGTGCCGGGATTAAAGGCATGCATCATCACACCCAGCTATTTTGCCTTCTTACCTTACCATATCCAATAGATTCCAAAAGATGAATAAAACACAAACCACATATTTCTCTTGGACTTCCTCTTGACTGGTGATCACCCCAAAAAGGATGATTACTCTCTCCATGAGCTAACAAATAACAAAGCAAGAATCAGGATCATCTACTAGGCCATTTAGGTAATATTCTAATTTTTTAAAATCAGGGCTTCTTTTAAAAGAATGTGTTAGCTGGAAACATAGTCTAAGTTATTAGCAATGGCTGTCTCTAAGGCATTAGTCTGTGGATTGATTTAATTTTCTGATTTTTGTTTTTCTGTACTTTTGAAATTATATATAATGAACGAAAGAACATATTTTATCCAAGTTGGGATATTTCTCTTCTTAACACACACACACACACACACACACACACACACACACACACACACACACGTTTTATTCACTTTGGCAATCTCTTCACTATGTGTTAGATGGTACAGTGAAAACATGGTCCTTCCTCCAGAGTGAGCAGTGATGATAGAAGAGTGAAGAGCAATAATTAGAGCATACTACGCTAAGAACCAGAGCACAGGTCAGGAAGGAGATAGCTGCTGTCTGAGGGAAGAATGCCAAGATTCATGAAGACCAGCTGCTCTTCAGTTGGATCTTCATAAACGGATAGGGGTTCGTCAAGTGGAGGGAGTATGAGAAAGGGCTTTCTAGATAAAGGCAGCCTGAGCACAGAGAAGTATGAAGATGCAGGGTGCCCTGGGGAGGAATAAACCACTAAGAGGCTGGAGTGGATGGTGCAGAAAAGGAAAGAATGAGGGAAGAAATTGAAAATGTGTTTGTGGCTGGGTTGTGAAGAGTTTTCAATGACAGGCCAGGAAATTTCAATTTTAGGCAATAGAGAAGCCATCAGTAGTTCTTTTCTTTTCTTTTCTTTTTTGATCTTTTTGAGACAAGGTCTCCCTGTAGCCCCAGCTGTCCTGGAATCACTATGTAGACCAGGCTGGCCTTGAACTCACAGGGATCCGCCTGCCTCTGCCTCCCAAGTGCTGGGATTAAAGGTGTGTACCACCACACCCGGCTTCTTTCTTTTTTTTAAGGGTAGTAATATAATACTAACCCTTATAAGATAATGGAAAATGGGAAGAATTTAACATATTCCAAGTCAGTAAGCATTTACAGATCATTGAAAATTCACACATTTTTGGCTTGGCCCCAATCACCAGCATCAATAAAATACAGTCCTCTCTCCCTACCAAAATAGAAAGCACCTTATGCTATAATGATACAGACTGTACATTCTATACTTTTACATTTAATAAGACACTATGTTCTCACTGGTCAAAAATACACGAGATTACTGGAGCATATTAGTGGTAAAAGGAAAATATAAATGGATTGTTTTGTATATTTTTCATAGGTGTCTTTATTTTTTAAGCTAATTAAGGAAAAAATACTAGGATAATCTATGACAGAATCATAGGCTATTAGTGTAAAAAAAATCTGAGATTTGCCAACAACAGTCTATATGGTCAGAAATTCACATGTATACCCTACGTCAGCATGTTTGTGACTGCAGAGGTGAGTCAAGAGGGACCTTGCATGGCTAAGGGGAATTAAGACATGATTCAAACTTAGTCAAACTGTGGAAGCTATCCATATGGCTGGTTTTCTTGGCCAGTCTTTGTTTAGAAAATAATTCTGTAGTTTCTTGATTTAATTTAGTTGTGTTTAGAGAACTAATTCTATCAAACTGCTGTTATAATAACTGAATTTCTCAACCTGGCTGTTATGACACCTGCCAACTTTGGGGTGCAATTTTAAGCATCTAATGAATACTTAAGCACTGTCTTATGTTACATTTTATTAATGCCTGATATTCAGAAAGACCTAGGTTTTTACTAGAGCATAAATTTCTAATTACAGGGCATTTTAAAAGAATTATCTCTCTAGGATCTCTCCAGATGAAACATTCTAATACCAGCCCAACCCTACTCTTATAAGGAATATGGGAACAAGAGAATTTATTATATGCCCACACTGAACAGGACATACAAGTCTCCTGGCTGTAAGCAATCCATGGTATCAGCCTGTTCTTTAAATAATGAGTATAGAGGAAACTCTCAAAGTGAAGCTGGGGCTGTATGATGAAACTCTTGAAAATCATCAGCAAAGGGTCTGCAGGCTCTTTAGTGATGGAATCCCAGTTGCAATGTGAAGAGTCCTTCCATATGCAATGTCAGCCTAATTAATTATCTAATGGTTAGGTGACTTTAACTTGACTAGGTGAAGATGTTCTTAAGTTCATAAAGTCAATATGAGTTACTTTCTGACAATTTCTAAACACACCCTACATTATAATCTCCACAATGACTCTAAGAAGGTACTAGTAGTATCTACCTGCCTTTAACCAAAAGTATGCATTTTACTAGGTGGTAATGACTTCCTTTAAGTCTGCAGTCAAAATCTAGACAATGAGACTATAAAAATCTCTTGTGCTGAAACATTAAGACTTTCCTTTTTGTCACTTTCGGGGCTACTCCGGAACCTACCATACAGACGACAGTATAGTCTCTAAAGTAGTTTCTCCAACCAGCAAGATGGCTCAGCCAGTAGAGGCTCTTGCCACACAACCCTGGTGACTTGGATTCCATCCCAGGAACCCACAGAGAGTTAGGAGAGAGCAAATCATGCAACATTGTCCTCTGACCTCTATATGCACACCATGGCACACATATATCCCCCACAAACATTATGAAGACACACAATAATTTTAAAAATTAAAAAATGAGGATTGAAGCTAAGTTGTTACTTTTGTAGCACTTTATTTACAAAACTGAAGAGTTTCTTGCCTGAACATGGGTGGCTTAGGCAAGAAACTAATTAAATCCAGTGGGTCACACACGAAAAGAAGAATGAAGATAGGAGGGGACTTGTTTAGAAGGGCCCCAGCAGGACAGAGAGGGATGATAAAGGGGAGCAAGTAGGGTTGAAAGTGACCTAAAATTCATTATGTAAAAGTATGAAACTGTGAAACAATAAAATTTTAAGTAGCAAAAACGGTGAAGGAGTAAAATTATACCCCAACTGTAGGTTGGGGTTCCAGACCTTTGATAAGTTTTAATTTCAAAATATTATTTTACTAAAATTATAAACTTGGTCAACATTTCTGGAACTTCAAAAACATATTTGTGTGCATATGTAATGTATGCACATGTGCATGTTTGAGCATGTGTGGATGGGAGGATGCATGTGCTTGTGTGGATATGGAGGCCAGAGATCAATGTCCAGTGTCCTCTATCACTCTCTACCTTAATTTTTGAGACAGAGTTTTTCACCATACCTGGAGCTCACTGATTGAACATTAGCTGGCTGGTAAGCATCAGGGATCCTTCTATCCACCTCTCCAGCATTGGGATTAGAAACATGTGCTACCATACTTACCTCTTTAAAAAGTTTTAGTGTGTGTGTGTGTGTGTGTGTGTGTGTGTGTGTGTGTGTGTGTGTGAAGGGTGTGGACATGCATGTCAAGTTGTGCACATGCAGGTCAGAGGACAACTTTGGGGAGTTGTTTTTCTCTTCCCACCTTTATGTGGGTTCCAGGAATTGATCTCAGCTTCTCAGCTTTGTGGGAGAAATGCTTTACCCACTGAGCCATCTTGCTGACTCAAAACAGAAATTCTTTAAAATTTTTTATTACATTTTTGTGGCATGTGTGGGGGTCAGAGGACAACCTGCAGGAGTCATTTCTTTCCTTCATCATATAGGTTCTGAGTATCTAACTCAGGTTCTCAGACTTGGTGGCAGGTACCTTTACCTGCATAGCTATCTATCCAGTGTGCTTTTAAAAAAATTTTTTTTTATTTTTATGTGTATGAGCATTTTGCCTGTATGTATACATGTGTTCCACATGTGTACAGTGCCTATTAAGGCCAGAACAGGGCATTGGATCCTCTGGAACTGGAGTTACAGATGGTTGGTTACTAGTTGATAAGTGGGTGCTGGGAACCAAACCTGGGTCCTCTAGAACAGCAAGTGTTCTTAACCTCTGAGTCATCTTTCTAACCCATCACATTTTTTTTCTTAAAGATTTTATTTATTTTTTGCATATGAGTGTTTTGACTGCATGTAAATGCACCGTGTGTGCAATGCCTGTGGCTATCAGAACAGGGCATTGGATCCCCTGGAACTGGCATTATACATGGTTGTTAGCCACTGTGTGGGTGCTGAGACTTGAAGTCACTTCCTCTGAAAGTGCAATAAGTGCTCTTAACCACTCTTTCTGGAGCCATCTCTCTAGCCCCTGGCACGTTTTTTTTTTTCAATGTAGGTTTGTGGAACTGAACTCAGATTCTCATGATTGAACAGCAAGCACTTTACTGACTAAGCCATCTCCCTAGCCCCAGGAATGGATCTCTGTGAGATGGAGGCCAGCTTGGTTTACATAGCAAGTTCCAGGCCAGCTGGAACTATAAGAACATCCTGTCTCAAACAAAAACAAAAAAGATATCTGAGTGAAACCTAGTTAGCTGCCTTCTATTCTGCAAGGGTGTATGTAAGATGCTTTCCTTTGGGGTGCCTTCATATGTTTCTCTAAGGACCTCTACCTATGACATCTTTGGAATGATTTTGGCAAGCAGGTCTCTTCTTGTCCTCATCAGAATTAGGAGACAAAGCAGGTGGTACTGGTTAATATAGGAGTAGTCCATGAAATTTGGTCTCACAGTTAGGCACCACAGTTTAGGGGTAGTAATTTGTACTTTTTTAAAAAATGTGTATGAATGTATTGCCTGCATGGTGTAAGTGTACCTGTGTCATGCAATTCCCATTGAGGTCAGAAGAGGATGTCAGATCTCCTGTAACTGGTGGTAGTTAGCCACCACGTGGGTGCTGGGTACCAAATCCAAGTCCTCTGAAAGAGCAGTCATTGCTCTTAACTATTGAATGATCTCTCCAGTCCCAATAATTTATAGTGTTTTAATTTCCATATTTTAAAAATTGCATAAGGGTGTTTAAATTAATACATATATAGCAGTGTTAATGATCAAGAGGAATTTTGTGTAACTGAACTATTTTATTGTTAGATTGTCTCTGACAGTCTCCTACATGGTGGATCAGTCAAATGCTAGGATACAAAGCTT